GGGCTGGGGGTCAGGACTCCTGGGTCTGAGGGGGGAGGTGCTGGGGGTCAGGACTCCCGGGTCTGAGAGAGGAGGGGCTGGACACCCACCCTTCTGAGCCCAGGGGATGAAAACCTGAGCTCGGTGGGCTGGAAAAGATGGAATTCCAGAGCCTGAAGTGTTGGGTGTTGAGACAAAAGGGGGCTGGGCCTCTTAGTGGTTGGAGGCTGGAATTCCTGACTGCCAAGAGAGGAGGAAGTAGAGACAGGATTCAAATTCCTGGGCTCTGTGCGGTGTGGCCAGGAGCAACCCAGGACTCTGAGAACATGGAGCACTCTTCAAGGAGATCTGGTGGCACAAAGGTTAAGCGCTCGGGCTGCTATCGGAAAGGAACAAGGTCTCGCCATTGGCTTCCATAAAGATCGCAGCCAAGCCCTGGGGGGAGGGGAAGTTCCGCTCCACTACGTGCTGCCCCTCCCATAAAGATGAACCCACTTCCACTGCCATGGAACCACCCACTCATGGTGAGTCTAAACAGGCTTCCCAAGACTGTAAACCTTTATGGGAGCAGATGCCCTGGTCTTTCTCCTGTGGAGTGACTGGTGGGTTTGAACCGCCGACCTTGCTTGTGGTTAAAGCCCATTGCCTAACATAGAGCCCCAGCAGGGCTCCCTAGGTAAACATTACAGCCAAGAGAACCCCAATGTGCCCGCTTTCTGGACTGCTTGAGTTACAGTCCACTCATTGGGCACCCAATAACAACATCTTCACCTCCTGCAGGGTCTGAGTGTGGAGCAGACATCACTTCACCTGGTGAGTAACAGTCCCAGGCATCCCCCCACCACACACACCCCGTTTCCAACAACTCAGCCTCTCCTAGATATCCCTTCCTTCCTTCCTTCCTTCCTTCCTTTCTCCTTCTTCCCTTGATCCTTTAGTGACCAATATGGCATGATGGTGAGGACCATGAACTTGTCTAGAAATAGACCTACGCTGGAAACTGGGTCCCTGAAAGAAGAGGGGTGGCCACCTGGACTCTTGGGTCTGAGGGAGGAGGAGCCTAGTCCCGTCGTCAGTTCCGATTCATAGTGACTATGTATAGGGTTTTGAGGAGCGGCTGGTAGGTTTGAACCACCGACCTTGTGATTAGCAGTCCATTGCTGATTCTACAACGTCACACCAAGACTCCAGAGATCTAGCTAGTACTTGGCTTAACCTGAGCCACCATGGGCTCATGATCTTTTGACTGTATTCTTTCCACACACTTTTTTCCTCATATACTCAGGGATTTTGTTTTTTCCAGTTCAAATATTTATCATTCAGTGTAAATCCCAACACAATACATCAACATAATTTCAGGCATTTAGGAAGAAACATATCCTGGCTAAGTGGGAAATTGTGCGGATGGTTCTGGAAGACCTTCATTCTAAGCAGCTTCAAAGGAAAACATTTCATTGAAAAGCCAGGGCCTTCTTTCTTCCGTTTGGTGTAATCTACATTCACTGAGTAGAAGTGTTGGTGATCATTGGCGCCCAGTTTTCTCTGTGGTTCTGGGTTGTTCTTTCTGTCCTGACTGATATATTGGATTAAACAACACGAGATGCAACACATCCAGTGTTGCTTGAATTCTTCCAGCCCCAGTAGGTACGAAGAGAGATCTCAAACGTGGGTGTTTCTCCGCCTGACGGAAGATCTGGTGGAGCCTGTTTGTGGCAGAGGCCTTGGGTCCGGAAGGAGAAAACAAAGTTGGCAGGCCCAGAACCTGGGACTCTGTTAGTCATGGTTTTAAAAATACAATCATTACTAAAAGATGTAATGAGAGAAGTAACAGCTTCCTCCTTCACCCTGTCCTAAAATAATCTGAATGTTTGCAAGAAATTTCCACACATTGGCACACATATACAAGCATATGTATTTACAATCATACCTCAGAGATATTGTGAGTTTGGTTCCAGACCACCACAATAAAGCAATAAAGTGAATCACATGAATGTTTAGGTTTCCCAGGGCACAGAAAAGCTATGCTTACACTATACTGTAGTCTAGTAAGAGTGTGGTTGTTGTTGTTAAGTGCCGTTGAGTCAATTCCAACACATAGCGACCCTATATAGTGCTTCCAAGGAGCAGCTGGTGAGCTTGAACCACTGACCTTGCAGTTCAAAAGACTTTGCAGTCTGACGCATTAGCCCACAGCACCACACCAGGACTTCTAAGGTGTGGCAGCATGATGGAAACCTTTGGGGTATTGTGAGAATGACCACAATGAGACACAGAGACAGGATGTGAGAACACGCTGTTGCAAACGGCGTGACACCCCTGAAGGGTTGCCACACACCTTCAGTTAGTAAGAAATGCCGTATGTGCAAGGCAGGATAAAACAAGGTACATACTTCTTTTATTCTTTATGTAGTTCTCTTTGCTAAAGCCAAAATTATATTCTATGACATGTTCTTTTTTTCTCTCTGTAACTTTTTTTTTT